GTATAGGGAAATAGTATATGAATTTGTTGACAAAGTGATAATGAATCATAATATGATATTATATACGGGGCGTTCCATTTGAAAAATCAAAGAAGCCGCTACTTTATAGTAGAAGCGACAACGCCGCTTCGTCTAAAAAATTTTAGGCGTGTAGGTCATATTGACTTATGCATACTGTGGAATTTTCAGGTTAATCCATTGAATAGTTCGTCAGAAACGGCTAATTAACGCTCATCATGAAAAGCCCTGTATAGCTGTCACAAAAAAACTGGATGTGATTGAAACAAAATTATTATATATTTATAATGGGGGTAGGCCAACATAAAAAAAAACACATCACAAATTTCATGTGACAAAAACACTGTTGACCTGTGTTTAAATCAGGTGTCTGTGAGTCGTGTCACGACTCTCAATCTTCAACAATTTTGAAGTGTCAACGTTTTAATATCTTGTAAATGGTTGATGAAATGTGGAGTTGAGCTTCATCACGAGCATTTTCCATTGATCTACCATAGAAAATGCCACTCACTATAGCTCACCGTCGATAAAAGTATTTTATTCGCCTAGAATCCACAACATCACCTACAGCTCAGAATACCGATTTGCACATCTGCTTCAGATTAACGCTTAATGGGGCCAACAAAGGAAAGGGATGTTGATACAAATTCCGTTCGAATATCCAATCTATATGGTAATGAGATCATTCCTGAAAAATCTTTTTTTAAGGCAGGACTATACTTTTGTAAGATACTATAAATAGACCAGTGCAGAAGCCTGTTTCATGCACAAGAAAGAGGAAAAAGTATTAGGTTGTATCAAAAGTGTTGTCCGTTTTTATGAGTCTCCTTTGAACTGTAATATATCAGTGAATGCGTATTTAATTTAATCGAAATGAGCGTCATTTGAGTCACTACACTTTTGACAACGTAAAACAAGTCGATTAATTTCGTCAGCATTAAAATTGTGTGCTCGGGATTCGATGAAGTCGACGAAGGGCGTTTTTGCCTGGTCCTGATTGGCAAAAATTCTACCGGTGAGAAGTGCTTGAAAAGATGGGAGTCGGTTGGCGAGGGGTCTGGGAATATGGTGGGTGAGAAAGAACACACGTTCAATTCGTTTAATTTCTTGACGGTGATTTATAGAAAATGCGGACGGGCATAATAATAGAGCATGATCGCATCTCTTCTGTTGACCAGTGACGAAACATTTCGTTGATTTCCTCACAATAGGACTCTTTTGTGATGGTTTGGCCCACTTACAGAAAGTTATAGTGAACCACACCAGCCTCTGATCACCATGCAGTATTCATTGTCTTTTTTGGTAGGGTTTTTTCCTTTTTGGAAGAGCTTGGGTGGCAACCACTATCCTGCACATCTCCTGTTGTCGTAGGAGACTCACTTTTCATCATACGTGACGATTCGATCCAAAAGAAGTATCGTTTTGGTTGCACAAATTTCGCAAAACAACGTCGAAATGTTCATTAACAATGTCAGTGCCAAATGCCTGAATAATTTTTTGGGGCTAGTATCTCCGAAAGGAATTTCGCAAAACAACGTCGAACCATTCATCAACGATGCAAGTGCTAAATGTCTGAATAATTTTTCGGGATGTTTCGGCAAAGTTTTGGTTCGATTTGAATTCTTAGAGAAACATTGGCCGAAAATCGCTCAACATCTGAAAAGAGGCAAAAATTCAAAATTTTGAAAAAAAAATCTACCAAGTATCATTATTGTTTTCGTGGTAATTCCATTTCGTTGCTTTGGATCAAAGTAAAAATCAGCATAAGTTCTCTAATTTGCTTGAATTGTATTGTTTAAGTTTACTGCACTGGCGAGTCGAATCATAAGTCTGCAAATTATATTGATTTCTCTCCTGTATCCTGTATAAAATTCGTTCCAGAAAAAACCCGATGAATAATCACATCCGCCCCTGGGAGCTGGCGTGACAAATCCGTACATTTTTAATATTCTGAATTGAACTCGCCAACTGAATTGCGTATAATTTCCTTTCTATTTTATTCACTCAAACCTGTTTTTTCCAACAGGGTTACACCAAATCGATAGACATATGGTCGGTGGGATGCATTTTAGCAGAAATGTTAGCTAACAGACCTATCTTTCCCGGAAAACACTACTTAGATCAACTTAATCACATCTTGGGCGTACTAGGATCCCCATCTCAAGAAGATTTAGACTGCATAATCAATGAGAAGGTGAGTTAAATATAAAAATAATGGTTTGTTTACCAGGCAGATGCAGGCCAGAAGCTAC